GAGCGTAGATACTTTTCCATCAAAGATGGCACCAAGGACCGTAAACAGACAATGCAGAAGAAAGCGTGACAGTCGAAAAGTCAACACCTGACTGGATCGTAGACTTGGAGGAATAATGCGTTCGGAAGGAGTCACCAATTGTCACAAGTAGTAGTGTAAACAAATCGAAGGTTTCCCCAAACAACAAGACAAGCAAGACGGTGTTGTTGAACAGAAGTTTACTGCCAGAAACTAGACAGTACAAAACTGAATTCCGCACGTCGAGGCAGTCCGGCAAAATGTGTTGTCTTGACTGCGGAATGGGCTTAGTGTGAAAATGCAGCCAACCAGTTGGACAGGTGCTCATTGATTGGCTGGAACTTGCGCAGGGCATGCTGCGGCCAGACGGAGGAAGCGTACGGCTTCTCGCAGCGGTTGCCAAGTGCTTGGTGAACGAAGGCAGAAAGCTTGAGTTAGCAGCGGCCGGCTGTCACAAGCTCATTCAAAAGTTTCGCTGATAAGCCATCCAGACAAGGCTATTTAGTGGACTGTAGTTGTCTCAGGGCTTTTCTTACTGTGTCTGTTTGGGAACATTACCGTGCTACTTGTATGCACCGCTGGGACAATGTATTGCTGTCCTCGTTAAAAGACGGCTCCTCTGTATACACAGACATAAAAAAGTTAGGCAAGGTGTTCGCCTTATCTGAGTTATCGGTAAACTCGTTTCCTTGGTAATCTTTCAGACAAGAAATGGGTTCTCGATTGCGTTTTGCCTTATTCACGTAAGAAAAAAATCTCTTTGGGTTGTTAGCTATTTCCTTAACTAGTTCTGCCTCAAAGGCCAATCGTTCTCTTCGTAGTAGTTTTCCACATAAATTTCGCTGTTTCTTAAATTCGGAGAAGTGTTCGGGCTGTTGGTATCTGACATACGTTTTCCATAGTCTTCTTTTCTTTTTGAAGTTCCTTTTTATGATCGGTGTCACCAACTCCTGACGAGAGACGCGCAAGCTTTTATTAAGCAGGCAAAAATTCTCTACTATTTGCTGAATTAAATTCCTAAAGAAGCACCAGGCGTCGTTTGGGTTGGGTACGTATGCAGGGTTCCAGTTAGTCACGTTAAGTAGCCCTTTCGTTTAACTATAATCTCCCTTCCATACACTGCTAGCGCTCATTGCACGAGCGATGGGTACCGAGAAATGTCTGTACTTCCAGACAAGAGCACAATGATTACTTCGAACAAAAGGGGTCTAAGTATTCAATCCGGGCGGATACGAGTAAAATTGGCTTTTTTTTACGGATGAAATACACTTTAAGGTTACGACGAATGCAGTAAACCTGAATGCACTTGGGTTTATTTAAAAAATTCAGACACCTTTTTGTTAATAGAAAATAATGAGACGAATGTGATGATCTGGCTACTGTTTGGAACCAATGAGTGAGTAATAACCACAAGATAAATATGCGACTCTATCTTTCGGAGATCTGAGGTCTTGTGACCGGAGACCCCATAATGATCTCACAATTGACCTCGTAGTGTTGGCTAATTTAGATTTTAATAAATAGCCTTGATTGGAATCTTGGACCCTTGAGTTCTGTGTCAAAGTACATTTTGTTTACACTCATTAATAATCGGGCTTTTTAACTAGACCCAAACTGTTCCTGTCGTCCAATGTTTAGTTTCTTTCGTGGGCCGACGCTTGAAGATCAGCTGTTCGAGCTAAAAGTCAACGCGAAGCAGTTGGTCTCCCTCTCAAAAAAGTGTGAGAAAGAAGAAAAAGAGGCGAAGGAGAAATTAAGGAAGGCGATAGTAGCTGGAAACCAAGAGGGCGCACGAATATATGCTGAAAATGCCATTCGGAAAAAGAACGAAAGCCTTAATTACTTAAGAATGTCCTCAAGAATAGATGCTGTTGCAGCCAGGGTTCAAACAGCAGTGACTATGAATTCAGTGACGAAATCCATGCGCGGTGTTGTGAAGGATATGAGTTCTGCAATGAAATCGATGAATTTGGAAGCTATATCTGGTGTAATGGACAAATTCGAAAGGGAATTTGAAAACCTTGATGTCCAATCACAGGTTTATTCTTTCTTTTACTTATCGTTGCCTGTAGGTCATGGAAGGCACTATGAGTAACACGACAACCCTAAGTACTCCTACTGGCGATGTCGACGCCCTAATGAAGGAGGCTGCAGACGAGGCAGGAATTGAGCTAAATACTGCACTGCCTAGTGGTGTAAACTCCACGATTGCAGCTTCCAGCTCCAACGTACCCGCTGAGGAACAAGACCTCTCAGAGCGTCTGGCTCGACTGCGTCAAGGATGAACTTAGGATCTGGCAGCGTACTTTTTCGATACTCGTAAGCTGTGATCTGTTTGCTCTACCGCCTTTGTCGAATTTCTTCGTGATGGTATTCAATTGTACAAACTCGTGACCACACTTTCATTCGAAATATTCTGTAAGATGTTGCTATGATTTAACGATTCTTTACGATCATTTTGGCTTGTCCCTTAATATATAACGTATGCGCATGAACGAGTTTTGCGCGCATTTCTTCTACCTTTTATATCTCGAAATAAAGCCTGGTTTATTTATATCTGAGATATTTGTTCTCTTCAGCCCCTGATCTAGTTTTAAAGTTAGATACTATCCTACTATTGTATCCACGCCGTACTACGACGTTCTCGCCATCTTCCCGTTTTGCTTCTAGGATGCACGAAGCTTAGGGGGCCTAATCCTTATTTTTTCTAAACTTAACAAATAGTCTGAAAGGTCTATGGACTTAGATACCATCCCATTTGCTACATGTTGGTCACATGTTCAGAATATGCTTACAATAATGACTTTATCATCCCTAACTCTGCCAAAATTGTTATCCACTGTTGTCCTTTCTCAGTGATAACGTCTAGACGGTTTTATACGACGCGCTCACGAAGTAACCCCCCACAAACCCCATATATATGGCACCATCGCAGCAGTTCGGTTTTTTTAACCATGCTGAACTCTTTTGGGGAAGGGGGCCCGAAAACGTTTTGGCAGACCAAACAGTTGATGACCTCCCGTCTGTGATTTCGTGGGAATAATCTCATTAACTCTGTGACGCTGGAAAACCAACGTGTGCTTGGTTTGCATCTCTAACCAGGAGAGGGCACCCCTCGGATTTAATTGCTGTACACTTGAAGAAGTAGCGAGTTTCAATTAGCCCGCGGTGAGGCTGCTGCCGAATGTACAAAGTGAACTTGGCTTCATGTCTCAAATTGATGCTGTTCGCAGCGTTTTCAAAATCCTTATTAAGTGTCTAGACACTCGAATCGAGATCACAATCGGCGTGAATATCTGCGCGTAACAACTTGTACTTGTTACGGCTGTGATCATGCCTGATCTTGCCGGCCTCAATGAT